CTAGCTCTGTATAATGAATATACCGTCTAAATATTATCGGCACTTAATTGAACGCCCGTAATGCATAAGATCAATTTATATATTGCGTAGATTTTGAAAGATTTACTCAATATTCACGTCTGAAATCTTTATACATCTGAAAACAACACTGTCCCACCCCTTAGCATATCGTCACGCGATCGTGATCTACGGCTTGATAGAGCATGCGCATTTGCGCTACTAAAGAAAAAATCGGGTGTTCCGGGGTAAAGATCCTTTACACAACATGAGAAGCGAATGTTCTAAAATTTACAAAAAAATACAATAACGAAAGCGATTCCTCGAAATTTTTGTGAACTTGGCAAAAGGATAACAGAATATGTAAATAAGTTAACTGAAATTGACTAAATAACCTTCAAAGTACTGACTAAGTACAATAAATCACTACGAACATAAATCGTATACACCCCCCGGAAAGTTTACTCTATGACTGACTGACTGACTGACTGACTGACTGACTGACTGACTGACTGACTGACTGACTGACTGACTGACTGACTGACTGACTGACTGATTGACTGACTGACTGACTGACTGACTGACTGACTGACTGACTGACTGACTGACTGACTGACTGTTTGACTGATTCGTGTGAATTCGCCAGCCATCACAATAGTGTGAAGTGAAACTTCACACTAAAAACGCAATGTGAACGATGTTCAGCTAACTGTTTTTGCTGAGAAAACGATCGAAATATCGTTTATTTCACATTTGGTACGTTTTACAATCGATCACGGTTCCCGGGCCCCTACGAGCACTCCGGGGCCCCAGGTATTTTGCTCCCTCTGCCCTCCCCCTCTCGCCGGCCTTGTGTCGCTCATCTGAGCTGTTGGAATCGCTGTCGCTGTGCTAATTAACCAACGGAGCAGGTTTCCGGGCTCGACCTGATCCAGAGGACCTGATCTATGGCTCGACACCCGTCGATGGATCTAACACTATGATCTAATTGCATTTGGGTTTTGTACTTTTGTTGATGGAAATTTCGAGTGTAAACTTTATACATTATTAGACCCTACTTACCTAACCAGGAGCAGTTTCGAAAAATGCAACAATAGGCCCTCTTGCAAGAACATCATGATCATGACTCCTAACTGGGCAACACCACTGAGATCAGTGGGAAACACACACCCATCGAGATACAAGAATCAGAGAATTAGCTGCTACTTAATCGACGTTTCGACTGCATGTTTTATATTTGTCTTTGAACAGCATTCCCATCTGAGGATTGTTTCTGGAGAAAAAATGAAATGAGCTATTGAGCTACATACTTACTTGGCACCTTTGGGACAGGGTCCATATTTTTTATTTTAGTAACAAACTTATCTTTCCCGATAATCCTCAATGGTGATACGTCCAAACTACGGGACATGCACCCATCAAATATTTTCAAGAAAAAATAAAAGTTTTAGACAAATACAGGGTTCGAACCTGCGATCATAATATTCCAGTGTGAGACTTCGATAACAAGAGTACTTAGAACTGAGTTCTTAAACAATGCTCTGCCAACTGAGCTACGAGGTCAAGTCGGTTCGAGTTGGTGATATCAAATACCACACACTCGAACCGACTTGACCTCGCAGCTCAATTGGTAGAGCATTGGACTAGTAACCCAAAAGTCGCGGGTTCGATTCGCACAGTGGTCAGGCAAACTTTTCAGCTTGCCCGGTGTGGATGCACACTCAGAGTACCAACACTCCAGTTTTTCCTGAACCTCGTATTTAGTAACAACTGTAACATATACATTTTAATTATTTTCATTGTCAAATTTTTTGAGCAAAATTTATACTTTGCCGATTTTTTTCTAAGACTAAATGAATAAATGAATGCAAAGCCCAGTCGAATTGCATTCACAACCGAACGTTTCGAGACTCCAGTGTCTTCATCTGGGGTGATCTGTCTCAACGTGGCTTCACTACAGAGCTTCAGTATATATGCCCATGGGATGACGTCATCTGCCAACCGGATGGGATATATTCTTGTGGCAAATCCGGCACCGTCTGTCCGTCATCCCTATTCAAAGCATGTGATGCCTCTGTCAAGGGTTATGCTGTAGTTCCCTACATTCAAGGTGTTACAGAACCAATCAAGAGAATCGTAAGTAATTGTAATATTAAGGTTGCCTTAAAACCTTATTTGACTTAATTAAGGCCATGTTTTCGCAAGCCGAAAGATCCTGTTAAAACACATCATGTATGTTGTGTATTGTGTTCCATCTGGTGACTGTAAGTATCTAGGTCAACCTAAACGCCAGTTTGACACACGCCTAGAAGAACACCAAAAGGCTGTTTAAACTTAAATAAAAATCAGCTTCAGCAGAACATGTGTGTGACACCAACTTGATTGCGTGGGAAAACGCTAGAGTCATTGCCTAGAAGCGTGGCATTAAATTATGAGTAATCATGCTTTGAATATAGGGATGACGGTGCTTATTTGTCACAAGAATATATACATCTTGTTGGCAGATAAGTCGCAACGTGACTTCTTATATATACTCATGAGATAACGTCCCATGCATGGGTATATATAAGAAGTCACGTTGCGACTTCAGATCACCCTGATGAAGACACTATATATTAATAGACTGGAGTGTCGAAACTATTGGGTTGTGAATGCAATTCGACTAGCGAGCGAAAAAAAACCATTACTAAATACAGTATATAGTTCGCTGTTTACGTTATTAATAATGTCTGACAAATTAAATATTTACACTGTCCATTGCCATGCACGACAAAAAGCTGGTTGTACGAATCTTGTGTATCTTGTAAGACGGAAGATATATATAATTACAAGTCAAAATCATATTATAACATTGTTCAGTATTTTCTGAATGACATTCAATCTTGCACACTACACACGCAAAAACGAAGTTGTGACAAACCTGCAGCAGACTTGTAGCAATGAGCAATTCCAGCTAGACTAAATTTTGATCTAGGCAAGAAGAACAAAATCCATCACCACAGCTAGAAAGAGCATGTTAAAATTAGTAAAATTGCAAAGTTTGGCGAAATGTTGTAAAATGAGGAAAATATAACCCTGCGAAATTTGCAAATTTTGTATTAATTTGTATTACGCACAGGAAAATGCACCACATTTGGGTCAACGTCTGCGAGCAGGCTACATTTGGGTCGAAAGTGGTGCAAATTCCCGTAATACAAATTAATACAAAATTTCGTAGGGCTATATTTTCCTCATTTTACAACATTTCGCAACCAAACTTTGCAATTTTACTAATTTTAACATACTCCTTCTAGCTGTAGTGATGGATTTTGTTCTTCTCGCCTAGATCAAAATTTAGTATATAGCTGGAATTGTCTATTGCTACAAGTCTGCTGCAGGTGTTGTCAACAGGATGTGTTCGCATTGTTTGTTCCCAGCTTGAGCTCAACAGACTTGTTACAAGTTGTTATCGTCCTGCAATTCAACAATTTGTCAACAGGTTGTGAGTGCATACAACCTCGTAACAACTTGATAAAATAACAGCATTGTTATACAACTTGTTGACAAGCTTGCGAACGCATCTTGTTGACAAGTTGTGAGATTTTTACGTGTGTATATATATACAGTACGTTATATATTGTTCAATTCAGGATGTAAAAGTTACACTTGGTTTTATAGGCTAAATGGAAAATTCTTTTGCACAACCGTTCTCAGTTTAAAGCACATATAAAGCGAACATAAAGCGATTTACCATACATCGAGGTTTTTATAATCTAGTTCTATACAATCTATAACGTCTGCTTCGCGTTTCTTCAATAGTCGTGTACTTTGCATCACAATGAATTAACCAGTCAACTAGTTTCTTATCAACCAATACTTATTTTGATTCAGTTCCCTGAAAGCAAATAACATAATTTCCCCAATCAAAAAAAATATAGACTCTATTCAGAATCATCTCCAAGGGTATGGAAATTATTGGTAATTTATTATTTATACTTTTAGGAGGGTCTAGATGGGGGGAGGTGGTCTGAAAATCAGTAAACGGTAAAAATTTTGGTATTTTAACGGTAAAATTTTGGTATTTTAACGGTAAATCTTTGAATCTGCTGAAAAGTGTTCTGAAACGATAAACAGTGTTTTTTCTTCGCGCTTCACGGTAACATTTTTTGTGTTTTCACGACTGACAGTAACCGAAATTGAGCAATCACGACTCACGATATACCCCCATCAACACCCTCTTTTAGTGCATGGTTATTGCACGCGGGAATCCAAATGAAACAGGTCCAAAATCATACCTACTCCACCGACAAATGTTAGAAAGGAAGTCTTTGCACTGCATTAGGGACAATCAGTTATAGGTTAATATTGCGGGGGGAGAGGGGTGGGGGAGGCAAACGCCGAAACGGAGATAAGACCATGCGTGTCTGGTTGCAGTGCTGGTTGGAAAATGGATTTTTCAATCCTTTAACACAAAATATTATTAAAATAATATTATCTAAATAATCTAATTTCAATAGATGCACCTGCTTAATTCCCCAAGAAATATAGTCAGGTTTCGTGGCAGCTTGATATTCATCAATTAACTGTTGTACAACTTCCCTAGGAAAAAAATAGAAACGAAGATAAACTTTATAGAATTGTAACAATATTAACAATTAATGTTCTTCCAGGGTTTAAACAAATACATGCAGAAATGCCGTATGAGGTCGTACGCCGTTTAATGGATGTTGACGTACGATTTTGTATACTAGTTTTCGTAAACAATTCTCGTATAAAAATGCGTTTGAAATCTGGATTTAAACGACGTAAACAAAGATGGCTGTCTGGGATTCAGGCAGTGAACTCGATGTTTCTAGATCAATGTTCCATGCATGCTTGATTGCTATAAATAAAATGGATATTTCAGGATCAGGGTTAGAGGTGAATGTTTGTTCATTGTCTGAAGGATTTTAAGGCAAACAAAAAGGGGTAACGGTTCAGCTCTGTTGCATAGGAAGTGTACGCGATCTTATACTTGTCTGAAATTCTTGGCGCACGCCAAGCTAATTTCGGCGTACAATCGTATACGTCCATACGCCTATTTTTTAAGCCCTGGCTTCCCCAGCTGAAAAGGCCATGGCTACGACGTTGCCTGCGGTAAAACTGATGGAATTAACTGCAAGGAATCACATTAACCGACGTTTTTAATCGATATAACACTTGATGAGAACACATAAAATACGAAAATAATTAAAATCATAAAATTCGGTCTGGATTAAATTTTTAATAGCTCAGGCTTCGAAATATAACCATGACGGTCTGGCCTATACCTTGAGTTATCCATTTCATCTAAGTTATCTTCAAACATGGGTTCTTTACGATAGTTCTCCAAGAATGCTTCACGTTTTCTTAGTTTGTCATATAAACGACAACTCTTTTCAAATACCTACAAGTATATATAAATTATAGTTATATAGATCGAAGGGTTTTTGTAGATGCGCTTGAGAGTGGGAATTTTATAAAATTGTATAAATTAAATTCACACTCGTGAGTCCATCTACAAAACCCCTCTATACAAAATTAGTTATCGAGTGTAGATGACCAAAAATCCAAGTAGCTATATAGATATATTACACCGTTTTGTACCATTGCGATAAAAAAATGGCCAAATATAGTACGCTCGCCATCTTTGTTCAATTTCTTAAATTTGAATTCCAAATTAGAATAATTGCGGTGCCCAAACGAAGTCAGGCATCACTTTATATTCGCTTCATGAGTTTTTTAGTTCGGAATCACAAACCTTGCTATTTAATAATTTATTCAAAAATAGTCCGTCTTTGCGCTTGTGGTGCACTTATTTTGTGCATGCTCCAGGGCACCGCACATAGATATTATATCTATGGCACCGCACTGCAGTATTGTGCCTGGTTTCAATACTCAGATACCACAGATGGATTCAATTCTCGAAGATGGAAAAATGCGATTTTAGTCGGCGACTTAAAATCAGACTGTATGTTTGGCCAACACAACTAGAATTTTGTGCACTTCAACATTTGAGACACAAAACAAAATAAAACATGTGCATGGGAAATGAATAAAAAGCGGAAAGGAACTGGTTCCAAATTAGTATTCTGAAATAATGCAATCCGATCCATGAACGAAAAATGATCAGCAATCACATCCTAGCAAACGCTCCTGTATACTTACAGTTGAAATACTGGTATGATTGGCCATCATTAGACCACTAACACGGTGAGCTGTTTGAACATAAGGTGACTTACGAGATAGAGCGACCTAAAAATATTTCAAACAAGACCCATGTTACTTCTTATAGCAAAACCAGGGAAAAGTCATTGCAAATTTGCAATCCACTGAGAGTATTGTCAAAAACTGTCCAAATACGGTAAAAAGAGAGTTGTACACCAAGAGTTTTGGTAGCACAGAGGTTCATGTGACTTTTATCTCTGCAACAGGTGTTCGATTCCTCTAATATGCAACTTTCTTTTTAATGACAGTAGTATACCAGTAATCCAGTAGACTACAATCCGGTACCAGGCACATCCCTAATTGCACCTCAGTCGCATATTAGAATTGTGCTTCCAGTTCGACTCTTCCAAACATAATTGAAAGATTTTTGCAGATGGAAATTTCGAGCAGAAGATTGTGTACAATTTTAGACCTAATCAGGAGCTGTTGCGAAAAATGCAACTATAGGCCGGAATTGAGCATTTGCATAATAGACAAAATTTTGATCTCAACAAATCTAGACAAATATTTCATCACAGCTTGAAAGAGCATCACAAAATTAGTAATATTCCGCAGTTTTGTTGCGAAATGTTGTAAAATGCGGATAATATAGCCTTACGAAGTTTGCAGTTTTCAGTCATTTTCGATTACAAACGGGAAATTGACAGCCTCAAAGCGTATCGGGCTGTCAATTTCCCATTTGTAATCTAAAATGACTGAAAATTGGAAACTTCGCAAGGCTATATTATCCGCATTTTACAACATTGCGCAACGAAACTTTGGAATATTACTAATTTTGTGATGCTCTTTCAAGCTGTGATGAAATTTTTGTCTAGATCAAAATTTAGTCTATTACGCAAATGGTCAATTGAAGCTGTGGCCGTGCGATTCCAGTACCAGAGGGACTATAGTTGCAGTTTCGAAACTGTCCCTGGTTAGCTCTAAAATTACATATCATCTTAAATTCGAAATTTCCATCTACAAAAATACGGTTAGTTCTATCCAACGAGATGCCCATAAAATCACGAAATTGACCCATACCTTAAGGCAATTTTCCATTGCAGTCGCTTTGCCCGCGCGGGCGGAGCGAATACTACTCAACTTTCTCTGTAGTTGCCTAACCTGTGCATTTTTTGTCCGCCTGAATGCTCGCGGACACGCCATGAAAGTAGAACTACATTCAACTTTCTTGGCGTGCCCGGGCGACTGATTTTTCACGTGATTAAAATTGGTCGCTCCGCCCGCGCGGGCAAAGCGACTGCAATGGAAAGTGGCCTTTATACTGGCATCACAGTGGCATCACCCACTATATATATATTATCCAAGAACTAGTGGTTAGAGCAACTGAACTCTGCGGCTCAGTTGGTTAGAGCACTGCACTGTTCGCAGCCCAAAATTTCGTTCAAAGGAAAACCGGAAGTTTTCTGTTTCAAATTTTCGGGTGGGGGCTGCGAGCAGGCGGAATCGCAGGTTCTATTCTTAGCTGCCGAAGGGCCTATAGCTGCATTTTCACGACTCGCTCCTGGTTAGGTCTAAAATTGTATGTAATATTCCGCTCGAAATTTTCATCTACAAAAACTCATCAATCGTTATTCTATCAAGCGAGATGTCCAAAAAATCTCGTCCAAACACCAGCAGTTTGGGCCCTGTACTGGATTTCTAGCGAGAACATTTTAGAACTGAAAGCTCTATCCAGTATAAAAAATTGCGTGTTTCGGGCTTTTCCGCGTAAGGTAAGGAGGCCTTTCTGCATCGTGGATGTTAATGACGAACATGGTCATGGTAAGTAAGTAAACACACGCGTACTTGAATACTGGCAGGACCCCAAGGAATGAATTCTGCTAACTTTCTTTCACGAATTCTTTGAAGACTTTTATGAACCTGAAAAATATAGAATCGTATTGTCAAAACTATCCTGACTAATTCACAATGGCAAATGAACATATAGTTCACGCAAAACTGCGAAACGTCCCTCTAATGACTTCTAACGCAAGCAATACCTATTATTTAAACGTTACCTGTGTGGGATCTACTTCTCCTTGAATGATGTTGAGTATAGAGATATAGCAATGTTGAAATTTCTTGTCCCTCAGTCTTGACACCATCACGTTTTTAGGCTGTTACAAAAGAAAATACAAGAAATAACGATTAATTAGCATAGCAAGCACATCGTGATGCTACACCTTACTCTACCTTACCATACCGCAGGGTGCGATAATTCAATATTTTTAGTCGTACCTGACTGGTACGCCAATGGTTGTTGCCATGTACTTGCACAAACTGAGTATTCAATGTGTACTTAGTCATTAAAATAATGTTCATAAAGTACACGTTTCTGAAAAGTACGTTCAGACAACGAGGTAGACAAAGAAGCACAATTGCATATAGAAACAATCGACTCCAACGTTTCTTAGTGCCATCAGTCCAATCATGTTTCATGCCAAGACATCTCAGACACATGATATACCAACTAAATTACGGTGTTGAATACCTTGGGCTTGGAAAGGTCATGTGGTACCAACAAAAAGTAAGTACGTAGATAGCAAGAGTTTCGCGTACCTACGTACCTCCGGTACGTAAGTACGCGAATTATCGCACCCTGCCATACCATACCATACCTGATATACCATACCATACCATTATTACAGCCATACCATACCATACTATAACACACTACATCGTAAACAAACCTGAAGAAGTCTTCGCATGACATCCAAGACTGTTGTTTTTCTCACACTGGAAACCTATAGTGAAATTCATATGTTTTTTTATTATGTAATACTATGTGACAATCTTTACTTACATTACTCAATTTTTACCCATATTATCCTGCAATTATCACGAGGTAAACACAAATATGAATCGTTTCAACGCTCGTTTCACCTTTTGATCAGTGGTAAGTGGAGTGTAGCCGGTCATCAAAAAGTGCAAACGGGGTGTTGGAATAAGAGATGCGATTAAACCAATTAGATCGTTGTTCATATAACCTAGAATAAACAATGATGTGAGACAATCTATATAAGCTTCTGTAGTTGCATGTCATGATGATTTGGTTGTATAAGTGCGAGTTAATGGCAGCATCAAATTACGAAACTGAAAGTAGATAACTTTAATTTCTTCCTTAGCTTTTTAAAGTTGATTCATTTATATATCACAGATTTGTTGAAAAAAATATTTTTGGTCGACAAATAGTGTTTCTCTTCGTTAATCCTAAGACAATTTACTGCCTGCATATACGTACAAACCTGGATATCGTAAAGTTGTTGTACTTGTTGCCATGATAGTAGAAACCTAGGAAATAAGTTATTATCAGTGAATAAAATGCTAGTTAGTAATGCAAAATAATGTGATCAATTAGCCTTTTTCGCGCCACGCGACCAGGCCTTGTCCGCCATTTTTGGATGGTAAACCCACTGAGCTATAATATTAACAGTTTCTCCTATATCAGGTGGGAAAGGACAAACATTGTCTGAATAGAAATTTATCAACAGTGGTGTCTCTTCCCCCTTAAATTTGCTCGTGAATAACAAGTAAGGTCACACCAAGATGTCTGCCACAAGTCATTATTTAGTGGCTGACTCGTACCCAGTCGTCAATTGTGATTTATGAGTACATATCGTACACATGTGACCATTCCCATCATGCACCATTATTTTTCAATTCTCATTTGAGGGACTGGGTACGAGTCAGATCTAGTGGTTAAAACTCAATGGAAGCTATATCTTTCAAGTTACATAGGAAATGACATAGTAAAGAAAAGGCACTATACTATTCCACCCAAGAATGGCGGACAAGGCCTGATCGCATGACGCCAGAAAGGCTAATAGACCCTTTTCCTAATGACGTCAAACGCGGTAAAACAATTTACCTGATGTCCCACGGGGCAAATTTTAGCGAGAATTCGCAATGCAAGTCGTTGTCGAGCCAATCAAATTTCGTATAACATCACTTGCATTGCGAACTGTCGCTAAAATTTGCCCCGTGGGACATTGGGAAGTATTTTCCCGCGTTTGACGTCATTACGAAAAAGGTCTATTGAGACTTACCAATTGGTTGACTTGTGAAAACGTAGGATTAGGAATATGTAATCTGTCTGAAGCAATCCGATTTAGAGCAGTGTTATCTAAAACTACCTAAAAATAATTATAACGATTTTGTAAGAAAGTGATGTTATTTAAGGCATTTAGGTGTCCAATAATAATTGTTTCAATGTTTGTGCAAAACGTACCACACAATCTGCGTTCTGTGTTAACCTCTTCAGTGTTAAGATCGAATTGTATGGTTGAACAACCACGTCGCTGATATCTTCCTAAAATATGCACAGATGGCTGCATGTGTCCGTTATATTCCCATCAGTGGGGAGAAATTCACAAGCCGTACCAGAAGAGGGGAAGGACAAAAAACAGCTCCGATTGGCCAAATTGTTGAATAATGGGCAGTTAATTACGTGGGAAAACTAGATGGAAATATAGCAAGAGTCCTAGACTGAATCCGTTTATTCAAAACTACAACGTGGCAGAAGCAAGAAATTATGGCTTGAGAGTCGAGCGCCCACCCACCTCCCCTGTGGGACAACAGCGATCCCTTCCATAAACCTTATATCTCAACCGTTCGCAGATTTTATTTCCATAACTCTCTCTCTTCCGCGTGCAGTTGAACTGAGAACAAAAGCTGATGAGAATGCGCAAGTATGTTGTTGTACGCATTTATGACAAAACAAGACTGAAGGAGTAATTTCCGCGAAAATAATTTTGAAAATATACTACAATTTCTTAGATTGAATAAATCAAACTTATAACAATCTTATCCTATCCTATTTTATTTGATTAAAAGTCGTCGGGTTTATAAGATACTTACCTGTTGAGGAAAAACTGAGTAAGTTTGGATCAATTTCTTGGGAAACCTTAATAAAAATATCTATTAAAGAAAGTGCAACTTTGTATAATGTCCTTGTACATACAGTACATAATACAAATGCAATGATAATTAATAAATATATGTTTCCACAAACCACAACGAATATTATTGCTATGCAAGTTTCCAATAATGGGCTTTGAATAGTTTTTAAATATTTACCATGTTGAAACAATTCATAGCCCGCGTGCAGGCCCAGGGAAGAATAGTGGGCCTGCAAGCAAGACCCGGTATTTTGTAAAATGCCCCTTTTCATAACACGCCCCATTCGGTAAAGAAGCGGCAAAAGAAGAGAGCGTTCAGAGTCCAGATCGTTTCGTTTCAAACGGCAATTTATACCGTCTTCTGTTTCGCTCTCTCAGCGAAGCCCTGGAAATCGCAAAGTGTTTCGAATAGGCTTACATGCAACTGCCTCTACATCTTCACCGCGAAAAGCGCTGTTTTCTTCAGTTCAAGAACAGAGTCAACATCAACCAAAAGATAATTTTCTTGAGGGACATATAACGTATCAAGTCTGTTTGAAATTAATGAAACTCAAGTAAAGGTTAGGGGCCTACTATAGTTTACCCCAGTGGTAATGTTGCTATTCCAACACTTCACGACAAGCAATCCCCGTTGGCATAACGGCAAAAACATATCTTCCTTCAAGTAAACAATAAACAGTCTGTTCTTGTTCCATTTTTAATCGAAAAAGTGATCAGATGCAATTTTTATAAGCTTATCGAGAGCCTTTGTGATGAATCACTGATCTAATTATAGAATCCAACAGCAAACAGCCAATCAGCATGCTGCTTTCGTGGGCGAACGCGGAAAGTACAAAATACCGGGTCTTGCTTGCAGGCCCACTATTCTTCCCTGGGCCTGGTTATACAAGTTTTCCAAATAACCATGATGTTTAAACATTTATCATAGTGATTATAATTTAATTTTTTTATTGCGAGTGTAGCAGTGAGTGCAATACTGTGCGTGTAATTAAGGTGCGTGTAATTAAGATGTTAATAATAATAATAATAGGTAAGAATCGTAAGATAATAATAATTAAGGTGTTGAGCCCGACTGTATTTTCCTACCACAACATTTTACGGTAGTTTGCAGTAAGATCACGCCATCTGACCAGGCCTTGCCCGTCATGTTTAGATGGCAAATCGCGCAGCAAAAGCGAATGACAAATTGGAAAGGAGTGATTTAGTTAAGTAAATAGCACTTATGAGTTGTGAACAATAGTACTGTGTTTCAACTTCTCTAAATTCACTCCTTCGCTTGTTGTCGTGTACTTTCCCCGTACAGTTGCCAATCAAAAGTGGCGGACAAGGCCACAAAATAAGCTAATAGCTTCTAGTGAATGCAATTTGTTCCAGAATGAGATAACCAATAGTGGATTTTCCTAATTAATATTCAGGTTAGTACAAACCTATCATTTAACTTCTCTAACATATACGATCCCATTCCAGACCCTGTTCCACCAGCGATGGAATGACAAAGCACAAAACCCTTGAAAAATAAATTCGAAACAATAAAGATTAGAGGAAATGATTTTGAACAGCGTATGCTGCAACACTGCTTTGCCTCAAAATACCTCCAGACTATCACTGCCATCAGCCTCTCTATCGATGATGTCAAATATCTCTTCATGTAGTCGTTCAGCCTACAAACATGTCAAACAGATTTAAATACACGTCGCATAATTCTATAAAGGATGGTTTACACTATCAAAGTTTCTGAGATCATTCAAGTTTTGTGAGAAATATTTGTAAGAAATGTTTGAGGGAACTGACTCGGTGATTAACACTTGTCTTATGGAATTTACCTAAAGTATGCAAAATTCCTTCTGTGATCACAAAAACTTTGTGATAGTCTTAAGAGTTACAAGGAATCAGACAAATGCCTGGCACGCAGGTTACGCCGTTTTGTTATACACATAAAGTATATTTAACGTGCTCGAAGGCAATGCAAAGGAGCAAGAATAAAGAGCCACATACCACTGACTGTTTCTAGTTTTAACACGTATCTAAACCATAAATCGGCCGATTAAAATCGTAATGTGTTGGCCTGGCTCTATAGCAGGCTACAGGAGCACAGGAAACCTGAGCTGCCATACGATGATCTTCTTTTATTTACCTGTGCATATCCACTCCCCCAGTTATTTCCGGCACCTCCACCATGTTTTGAGGTAAATATATTTTCAGGATTGTACAAATTGGCGTAGGGAGATGTCATTATTGTGTCTATTACCTGAAATAAATATTACATGCAGGGTTTATTGAATGTTATATTTGAAGCACATTTTTGTAAAAAAGTACATTGGCAGAGGAATTCTGAGAGCACTGATAATTTTCTTACTCAACCCTCTTTGGACTGCGCTGACGTCAGGATAATTTTATTCTGTTTAACATCAGACAATTGTAATGGACAGCAGGGAGAGTCTTCGGACACGAAGAAATTATATTGATTTTATTCATTCACCACCGCAGTGTACTTTATAATAATAACCTATATGCAATATGTTAATGAAAACATCCTCGATGCCAAAGCTTAGCTAACGAAAGGTCTTACATGTTAGTATACTTGGTATTATATTTTATTTTGCAAACATCTGAGGTATAAGCCACAACTTTATAGCAATACAAAAATACAGGGGTCATCCTAAGAAAAAAATTAGAACTGCTCATTTCGACAAGAACAGACGGTTAGGTAATGAACACAAGCTAACTGTGTGGCAGTAACGAGAGACAAGTTCATGGCCTGGTTAGCTTGGAGGGCCCTGGGGCATGCTCCTCCGGAAGATGAATTTCAGAAGTCCAGAATTGCCATTTCCTGCGTTTTCAGAGTGACATTTTGTTTTTGCGCACTTAATTATATTTATAACAAATTATCATTTTAAGCTTGAAAACTCACATTTACATTTAGAACTACCCATTTTACATTTAGAACTACCCATTTTACATTTAGAACTACCCATTTTACATTTAGAACTACCCATTTTACATTTAGAACTACCCATTTTACATTTAGAACTACCCACTTTACATTTAGAACTACCCACTTTACATTTAGAACTACCCATTTTACATTTAGAACTACCCATTTTACATTTAGAACTACCCACTTTACATTTAGAACTACCCATTTTACATTTAGAACTACCCATTTTACATTTAGAACTACCCACTTTACATTTAGAACTACCCACTTTACATTTAGAACTACCCATTTTACATTTAGACTACCCACTTTACATTTAGAACTACCCACTTTACATTTAGAACTACCCATTTTGGGAAATGGGAGCCCTTAGGATGACCCTTGCAATACTTACCCTTGGTTCGAGATCAAGCAAAACAGCTCTGGGAATGTAATGTTCATCATCTGCCTAGAAATATCATTTCAGAGGAAAACGATTTTCAGAGGCTTTCTGCAGGGATCCGAATTTCAACATGAATTCATTGTTGAAAACTTTACATGTGCAGAAAATGATATAATACGCTTAACCTGGTAAAAGAAAACATCTTTTCTATCTGTTCCATCAGTTGCAAAGTCTTCCAATATGCCCTCTGAAAGAAATGTCACAGTATTTGCGTTTAGAACGTAGAAAAAAGGCCTATTCTACTCATCGTAACACAATGAATACAATGCACAAAATAATTATAGCTTTGCTCCAAATAGTCAAATACGTAACGTGATAATATAGGGAGACGAGTTTTAGGGATAAAACTTTCCGATACATATAATAGGAGGAAAGCCAAAGTTGCAAAAATCATTTCCCGTTACTGGCGATTGTAATGAAGTAGAATAAACGTGTGCCAAAGTTGGTAACCTAATGCCAGGGATCAAGATTGATGGCAAGCTGCTGTCGAAAACCTTAGTTTACGTGCAAACCTTAAGTTTGCTTTAAGATGCGGGTTGGAAAGTAGGAAACAAAGTAGACTAAAAATTTGAAGAAACACCATTCCCATTTGAAGAAACGTATTTGAAGAAACACCATTCCCATTTGAAGAAACGTATTTGAAGAAACGTATTTGAAGAAACGTATTTGAAGAAACACCATTCCCATTTTAAGAAACGTATTTGAAGAAACACCATTCCCATTTGAAGAAACGTATTTGAAGAAACACCATTCCATGCATATTTATGTTATCGCAAGCTGGATCATCACTAATAAAAAAATACTTGCATGCACTCGTGATAAACTGCGAATCTTTGTAGATGATACAGTACGTCAACTACAGTAACTTTGACAGTTGGAGCGACGCTGGGGTCTACACCGTAGGCTAACTAACTTACAGACAAAGGGCATTCTCTCGAAACTTCGAAGTTCTTTCCCTATTTTTCATGTAGTTGTAGGTTACGGTTCGAAAGCTTTGTTAAATAAATAAAACGTACGATCCATACATGGTGTTTTAAGCAATTAAGGAAAATATTACGAAACATTACAGGCAAAGCAAAGCAAAGAACAAAATTTATATAACCGCCATATCGGAGCATGTCCTAACATGAGCATAGGGCATAGGATATAGCCAAGTCGGGCGGGGCAAGTGGGGTTGGGGGTCCAATCATCGAATACACAGAACAACTATGGGGTTCTATTTTAGGGTCTGCGAAAAGCTATTTCATGTATTCTAGATGATAATCTGAAATCCACATTTATGTCATAGGTGACGCCCTCCAACAGATTCTCCTCAGTTTTGGAAGACTTACAAAATTGGTCCTGAAGAAAAGTGAGGCATAGACGGATTTTCATGTTTTTTACTGGGGTGGTGCCAGAAATTTTAGGGGGGTGAGCCGCGAGCAGGTGACTGAAGCAACACAAAGTGTCACCAAACCCCAGTAAGGTCTATATTCTAGGGGTGGAGCACTAGAGCCGCGAGTGGGAGTCTAGAGAGCAGAAAACAAAGTATCCCTGAAAAAAAATCATGATTTCTAAAAAACGTTTTTTGAAGTTATCATATCAATGGATTTGGCCTGTCCAATTGTCTGTCGAGACTTGAGAGAGTTAAGTTAAATGAACCTGTAAAAGTGTAAACCCAATAGGCCAATACACAATATGCTTTTACTTTTATAAAATCATTGACATTGTGTCGTTTGAATCTGAGTACAATTTATGATGCAACTCCGATGTAAATAATATTTGGGACGTAAAGATTAAATCTAGGCAAGACTATTTCCTAAAAGAATTAAAAACTAAAAATAATGTTCGTAAAAATTCCCAACGTTCCTTGCAAGCAAGCTATTTGCATGACAAGGCACTGCAACTCTATTCAGGGAAGATAATAGAGTTTCAAAACTTTACGATTGCATGGTCCAATAAACCAGTGAATGCAAGCAAGGAGCAATTAGTTTCAGAGTATTGCACTGTCGTTTTCTATTTGAGTATACTCCTACGTTTATTTTGTATCATCAACACTAGGGGTGCACCGGATTTGGAATTTTCAAATCCGGCCGGAACCGGATTTACCGGATTTGGACAAAAATTCCGGCCGGATTTGAGATAAACCGGTAATGGGACAATTGGGGATAAATCAGTATTCAAAATGACGGTTTATGTTTTTTACTATTTTTAGTTAGTGTCAGTTTAGATTTTTGATAGATTTTTGATTGTGTTTAAACCTTTTTTAAACATTTTTTGTTAATAACTTAATATTTTATAACAATATAAGTGTTTTTTTAAACTTTAAAGCTGCCAAATTGATGGTTTATATTTAATTGGTGAACTTTTTAAGGTGAAAACAGAAATTTAAATCCGGCCGGATTTTCTCCAAATCCGGCCGGAAGCCAGATGCCGGAAAATTCGTCAAATCCGGCCCTAATCAACACTCTGCACGTAGGAGTGGACTATTTAATTATTTTTTATTATGCCGAATATTGGGGGGGGGGGTTGAAAATATTTTTGGAGGGGTGGACATTTTGTTTGGGGGGGTTATAGCTAATATTGGGGGGGTAGCACCCCCCTGCACCACCCCACAAAATCCGTCTATGATTGAAACTGTCTTTGCCAGTGTCGGTAATGTCAATCAAATGAACAAGCTTTCTTTGGTAGGATGCAACTAACTGAAAATATATAAGGAGAATTGAAATTTGAAATTCTCCTTATATTTTTCAGCTTGTTGCATCCCTACCAAAGAAAGCTTGTTCATGTAATTGAAATGTTTATCATTTGCCCATCTAGGAACTACGTGGCCATCTTGAGACATGCTTGATGGAAGGAACACAGTTGTTTGTAACACATGTTGATCTCACAGCTCTCGTTGAAGATGACAGATTTTATTATGTCTTGCGAAGTGTACCCACTTTCTTGAAGGCCAGAAATCCATTCAAACTACTGGTAAGTTCATATGTGACCTTGCTAGCAATGGGAAATTGAGTTTTACTATAATAAGATAGATTATGGAGAGATTTCTAATCGCTGTTTGTGAATTTTGTTTGAAATTTGTTTCATTCTCTTTTAGGTCGGTGAACATGAGATTGAGTGTCAGCCTTCGTTCAGGTTAGAGATAAATAAACTATAAATAAATAAATAATAAAGTAATAAATTAATTAATTATTAATATTATTTATCGCCATGCAAACCCATACAAAGAACAATAAACTAGTTGGAATTTCAAAGCAGTACAAATGAATTTTTTGGAAATTTCACTTTAGCAGTAGTAGTAATTCTCAAGTGATGTAATCCAGCCTTTGGCTGCAAGATGCTTTTTAACAAATGGTTTCTATTCTATTTCTATTCTATCTATTCTATTCTATTAGTTTTCGATATTACCAACTTGTTTGCAAGTCAGTCAATATAACCATTCAAGTGAGAGGAGTGTCTGTCCCAAATGTCCAAAGTGAAATATTTTTTCTAATGGTATTTCATTGCTTGACCTTTTCTGCCAGGTTATTCATGTCTACAACAGTGCCTGCGTACCGTGTGCCTGCTCAGCTGAGTGCATTTATCAATGTGATTGACATGTGCTTGTCACGTGATGGTCTTGAAGAAATGTTTCTAGACAGATTTATGGAGCTGGAGAAACCTAGGATCCAGGACTCTAGACTACAGTCTGTGTCGGTATGTTGGATTTCTTGAGAATGAGGAGTACATTAAGACAACAGACGTTTTAACAATCTAATCTAACTAAGCCTGGTTGACACTATCAAAGTTTCTGTGAGCACAGTAGGAATTTTGCAAAGGTAAATTCTAAGTTTTGAAGAATTTGTAAGAAATGTTTGAGGGAATTGATATTGTGTTAAACACTGAATCCTGAATCAGTTCCCTCAACGTTTCTTACAAAAATTCTTCGAAACTTAGAATTTAACCACCCAAGATTTCTACTGTGATCACAGAAACTTTGATAGTGTAAACCAGCTTTTACGGGTATTGATAGAATATTGTTTGTCAGTACATATACATTGGACAAATAAGAAATGATCCTTACTGGACATCTCGGGAGAACAGTTTAGAACTGAAAAATGTATCCAGTATAAATAAAGATAATTTAGCCTAATGTTTTTTATGTTACTCTGAGTGTATATCCACACCGGGCAGGCTGGAAAGTTAGCCTGACCACGGTGGGAATCGAACCCGCGACCTTTGGGATACTAGTAATATCCCAACAACCCATCTGTTGAGTTTATTGGCGAAGTAATTTTAAAAATAAACGTTGTCTAAGCCGAGAAAATCAAAGTTAAAGTTTATGGAAATGACAATGATTTTTTGTCACTAATTATATTCACCTGAGTACATAACATCAAAACAACACACAAAAAATATAGTTTAGCCTAGTTTTCCTCCAGTAGTAGCATTGGACAAATAAGCTGAATGGCCCTTACTTGACATCTAGGGAGAGCAGTTTAGAACCAAAATAGCTATCCAGTATAAATAAAGATAGTTTAGTTTAGGTTTCCTCCAACTTGTAGTAAGACTGGATTAAGAGATGGTCCTTACTGGACGCCTAGGGGCAACACTTTCGAACTGAAAGAGCTTTCCAGTATAAATAAACATTGTCAAGCAAAGATTTCTTCCTGTAGCAATGTAACTGATAGAGAACTGAGTGTATATAACATTAGCTTGGACTAACACTTCAACTACGATAAACACCACAGGTTTTCTTTTGCAATTTCACCCTTATCTGCCCCAATACCTAACTTCTACTGTATACTTGTTCTAAGGTATATAATATTTTCTTAAGGAAATTGTGCGACTGCTAAAGATGAAAGATGAATCGGAGAGGAAATTCCTGGAGGTTTTATTAAAGAACAGGCAGTTCTTACATGATCTTAGTACAATGAAGAAAATCTCATCTATAAGAAAAAATTTTGAAGAAACCGTGGAAAGGTAAGTGGTTTGAAATTACGAACTCGGAAGAAATGTTCAGGTAATGTTCTATTTATTTCTGATTTCCAGCATCACACGTGCTGAGCAATCCGAAGCATCTCTGCTCCACTCACGTGAGGCATTTCGACCAATCGCACGTCGTGCTGCCGTGTTGTTTGACGTCACCCGTCACATGGGAGAGGTGAACGAGAAATACACCATATCATTGGCACAGTTCTTGAAAATATTTGATACTGCCATTCAACATTCTGAGAGGTAAGTCGTCTCGTCTTCTTGGATTCTTGGTTTCACACTTCGATTCCTGTGCTTCGCTTGGCAATATCCCCTTGTAGGGACACACGTTCAAGTGCTACTGGAATGCATATAGTTCAGGCCTCGAATTTCCCTGAAATCAATCTACGGCAATGGAGTTAAAAAATGCCGTAGAACGTAACAGCTGTCTACGGCAATTTTGGCAGTTTCCACGGCATTTTTTCAAATTACTGTAATAAAAATTAAATTTTATTGTTATTTGGATTGTTGACAAGCTAGAAACATGTCTACGTATTTCTTTAGTGTGTTTTTTTCGAAGAAAACTCAGACTAAAATAGTGATATATGCATGATTTGATCAACATCTCAATTCAAGTATCAAAATAGTAATGCACAGTGAATAGTACAAAAATTATACTATACGGCAAAAAATTGCCGTCGTTGCCGCAATGTTCCACGGCATTTTGTTCTCCCTCTACGGCGATTGCCGCGATGAAATTCGAGCCCTGATATAGTTGTTACTGCTAGTTAGGTTGTGAACATAGCATATAACCTTTCGTGGTGGGTTTGGTGGATAATTCGGGTGAGAACTAACCAGGAACGGTTGCGAAAAATGCAACACTAGGTCCTCTGGCAGGAATTGAACCTACGGCCCTGCGATTGAGGTACAGCGCTCTAACCAAGCAAGTTCATGTATATAAAGATTTTCGAGTGTGCAGGTTGTGATTAGGTGAACATGAAAGATGTATTTTGCATTTCGCTTGGGTTTGGTGGATAAGTTTTGTATATATATGCTCACTTGGATTATCCACCAACCCAGTACAAAATACATCTTTCAAGTTATATATAGTTTATCATTTTCTGATATGCATGGTAAATGTGTTTTCTTTTACCAGAACTGCTGTGAAAGCTGTTGCAGAAAGAGTGGGACAAAGTGCTTTCTTCTTCGCTGTTCAAGGTTTTTTGGAGAAAGATCGAAAACTGTTTGCATTGTTATCTGCTATTGAGGTATATGAACTAAATGTATAGCAATACAGTATACGAATTACTTTATATTATTCTGTTCTAATCCCGCTCGAGAAACGTTACTCTGCAACCAGTCAGAATAATATGAGACTAGTTTTTCATATCTCTGAGAACGGTTCTGAAATAGAGTTACTTTAGTTGAGTTTTTCCTTGAAGGAACACATTTAATTAGGTTTTCACTTACACACGTAAAAACACACAAGTTGTAACAAACTTGCAGCAGACTTGTAGCAATGCTGTTCTAACAACTTGTTATCAGGATGTGTTTGCACTGCTTGTTCCCAGTTTGTTGACAAGTTGTCAACGGCTTGTTGACAACTTGCTACGAAGTTGTTGAACTCAACAGACTTATTACAAGTTGTTCCAACAACTTGTTATCGTCATGCAATTCAACAAGTTGTGAGTGACAACCTTGTAGCAACTTGATAAAATAACAGCGTCGTTACAACTTGTTGACAGCTTGCTACTGCGAACACATCTTGTTGGCAAGTTGTTAGGATTTTTACATGTGTAGAGTTTAGTTGACGTTTTTCTGGAATAACACATTTAGTTAGGTTTCCATCTAAGGCTGAACCAATAAAGAGTAGCCCTACAACAATATTCGTTTGTATTCCTAGGTTGAAGATTCATTTGGTCGTGTTTCCCCAGGAGATCGCGAGTTCCTCATTTATCCTGCTTATGGATCTGCAGTTAAGACTGCCCTCAATCACGGTGCGATGGTGACCACATCACAACTAAGAATAATCAATGCAAAGAAACCTTTTGATTGGATGACGGATGAACAGTATAGCGGACTGCAAGTGAGTGATTATCAATAGACTTTTAAAGTTTTTTGCTTCCTTACACGAGCACAATGATGCAAAATGCCGTCAAAATTAGTTATAGGCCTACCAATTTTCGGGTGATCTTTGTAATGACAAAAGTGTTGCTTGCTTAAGCCCACTAATACGAAAATTTTTGGAACATTTTTGAAGGACAAGTTGAGCAAAATTCTTCCGTAGTAGTTAGTACATTTCTATGAAGGAATGCTTAGAACTGATACAGCTATCCAATATGAATAAAGATTTGATCCAAATTCTTCTACAGTTGCTAGCACATTTCTAGGAAAGAATGCTAGAACTAATACAGCTATCCAATATGAATAAAGATTTGATCCAAATTCTTCTACAGTTGCTAGCACATTTCTAGGAAAGAATGCTAGAACTAATACAGCTATCCAATATGAATAAAGATTTGATCCAAATTCTTCTACAGCTGCTAGCACATTTCTAGGAAAGAATGCTAGAACTAATACAGCTATCCAATATGAATAAAGATTTGATCCAAATTCTTCTACAGTTGCTAGCACATTTCTAGGAAAGAATGCTAGAACTAATACAGCTATCCAATATGAATAAAGATTTGATCCAAATTCTTCTACAGTTGCTAGCACATTTCTAGGAAAGAATGCTAGAACTAATACAGCTATCCAATATGAATAAAGATTTGATCCAAATTCTTCTACAGTTGCTAGCACATTTCTAGGAAAGAATGCTAGAACTAATACAGCTATCCAATATGAATAAAGATTTGGTCGAAATTCTTCTGTAGTTGCTAGCACATTTCTAGGCAGAAATGCTTAGAACTGATAGAGCTGTCCAGAATGAATAAAGATTTGATTAAAATTCTTCTGTAGTTGCTAGCACAGTCATTCGACTGGTTTCAAGATGCGTTTGAGAAAATGACGAAAGATGGACGTGAAACACAATGGAGGCAACTGGTAGAACATGAAATACCTGAACTGGTTGCTTTGCCTGACAATCTAGATGAGAAGTAAGTAGAAGAATCCACTCGTTTACATGACCAGCACTTGTGCTATATCGGGATCACCACGCTTGCCTCTCAAGCTGGGAGACTTGAGTTTAATCCTTGCTCAGACCTTTACTTAAAATAATTGAGGAGAAAGTGCTACCTTTACATTGACATCAGTAAATTGTTAGACTTTCGTGTTTTCTCGGATAAGAACGTTAAAATCGTAGGTACCTCGGATCCACTATTAATTTGTCAATAGCCTGTTGGGAAATCCACTCACCAATAGACCTTTCCCCTTATGAGTGAAATTTTGATCTAGATATGCCTGTACAAAAATTTCATCACAGCTTGAAAGAGCATCACAAAATTAGTAATATTCCGAAGTTTCGTTGCAAAATGTTGTAAAATGCAGATAATATAGCCTTGCGAAGTTTGTAATTTTCAGTCATTTTGTATTACAAACGGGAAATTGATAATCAGATGATGAAACTGATTATTATCCGCATTTTACAACATTTCGCAACGAAACTTCGGAATATTATTAATTTTGGGATGCGCTTTCAAGCTGTGATGAAATTTTTGTCCAGACTTGTCTAGATCAAAATTTCACTTAAAAGGGGAAAGGTCTGTTAGTGCGAAACTCATTAATTTTGTGTCATTCCAGGTTTAATCCCATGCAAAGGTTCATGATCATCAGAGCTATTCGACCAGATCGTCTCATTCAGATATCTCGTTCTTTCATAATACAAGGCCTCGGACGAAGGTAAGTTTAGTACTTATGTAAATGATTAACAATAGACACTAGTTTGAGATCGAGGCGGTGATCCATTGAAATTAAGTGTTTTTCATTACCAGCATTATTATTTGTTTCAGATATACATCAGATCTGCCTCTAGATCTTGGCTTTGTTCATCGTCAGAGTGATTCTAAAACTCCGGTCTTATTGTTGTATGATGAGGAATCTGCTATCTTGGAGACTTTTGTGAAAGATCTGGCTGGAAAGAAACAGGTACTGTAGTTACTATACAACATACTTTGTTTTACCTGTATATACTACCATACCATACCATACCATACCATACGGCATACCATACACCATACTATACTATACTATACTATACTATACTATACTATACTATACTATACTATACTATACTATACTATACTATACTATACTATACTATACACTAAACCATATAATGTGACTGAAGATATCATACCATAACCAGAATTCAATGTACTATTAGTAAAACATGAGCAGCAGTGTTTTATCAGATATAAAGATACGAGGCGAAGCCGAGTATCTTTTAGGTCTGATAAAACACGCACTGCGAATGTTTTAAATTGCTTCAAAAACGATCGATCTAGTAAGTTCATTGGCGAAGTAATTTTCAAAAAATACATTGTGTAAGTCGAGAAAATCAAAGTTAAAGTTTATGTAAATCAAGAGAAATCTCTGTCACATATAAAGATACGTCAAGCTTATGATTTTTCTTTGTGTTTTCCTCATGAATATAGAAACCTGTTGTATTGAACACTGACCGTAACATGTCATACTATGTCACACCATATCATATACCATACCATATACTACTCTATACCATACCACACCATACCATACTATGCAATAAATGTCAAATAAAATTTTTGAAGCTAAGACCTGTTTGTTTCCTCTAGGTTGATCTATCTGTGGTGCACCTATCAACAGGTTGTTCAAACGAGGAAAGATATGCTAGACGCTCTTTGCATAAAGCAATGACAGAGGTTGGAAGATCCTTATATCAGACGATTACTAATAATAAGGAAATGTGTTGAGTTATCCAGTTTATATGAAGTTAGTTTAGTTTAGGTTTGCTCGTGTAGTGGGAAGAACAGGGTAGAACTGATAGAGCTATCAAGTATAAATAAGGTTCGTTTAGTTTGGGTTTCCTCCTGTGGTAACACTGGATCAATAAGCAGAGATGGCTTTTACTCAACCTTCAGAAACAGTCTCGAACTGATATCTTGTTGCTCAATGCTCAATTCAAGATAATTTACTATTTCTTCTATAGGGTACATGGTTACTACTACTTGATGGTCACAACTCTCCACGGCTACTGGACATGCTTGATTCATTGATCTCTGACAGCAAACAGATAGAGGTCAACTTCAGATTGTGGATCTCAGCTAAGATCTCATCACCATTACCATGTAGTTTATTACAGCTTACTGTCAAAGTGGTTGCTGATTCACCCAAGGTACTGAAACTATGATTATTAGAAAATTACAGTCTTAAATCGAGTACAGGTAGGCCTACTGTATCTCTAGTTAGAACAGTTAAAAACTGTTAGATCTATCCAGTATATAGTTAATGTCTTCGTGTTTTAGTAAATAAATAAACAACAAAACAGTTGGCAGAGCATTGGGCTAGTATTCCAAAGGTCGTAGGTTCGATTCCCACCGTGGTCAGGCATATTTTTCAAGCTTGCCCGGTGTGAATATACACTCAGAGTAACATCACAAGCATCATATTCACCTGAGTACATTACACCAACACAGAAAAATCATGAAATAAACAATGTTATGTTGTTTTCTTCAGAACATCCGGGACAACTTAGTGCGATCAATGTCGTTGGTTGATAGTGATATACTTGGTTCGAGCAGTCGAACAGAATGGCCAGCACTCCTCCACAATGTCTGTGTACTTCATAATGTTGTACGTTTAAGGTCTCAATATCAATTGGTTGGCTGGAATGCGCCTGCAGTCATTAATCCTGGAGCACTTGAGTTATCTGTAAGTGTTTTGATTAGCAATCTTATTAGAATGAAATGATAGGTAGTATACTAGTATTCTACAATAAACTGTCGTCGTTTGGTGTTTATGTTTCAATACTATGTAATTCAGCTTTTGTACTAAATCGTCCATGACTTTAGGATGCAATCAGAGTGGCTGCTAGAGAATTCGGTGAACACAACTCACATGAACATTCTACTACACCTGTTACCACCGCGGGAAAAGCGATTCAATGGAATGCATTACGATATATGCTATCAGAGGTAAGAAACTTGTAGAGTTTCTCCAACACCTTACTTCTATCTGAAGTGGGAGATCAGATTCAAATACGATTTATTATGATCATCCTCATATATTAGGTTGTATATGGGAAAGGAATTCAAGATGAGTTTGATCATCAGTCTCTCAGCGCAATGGTAGACTACTGGATCAGTCCTGCTGCTGTTAAGAAAGAATTTGAGGCGTCCAGAGGTATGGCTGCTTTTTTGTTGGTTTGTTTCTTTAGTTGATTGAGTGCTTAGTTTCGTGGGCCCCATTTATCCTGGAGACGGATGATTCGACTAGACGAACTTAGCCTAAAGGTAGCTCTTTTTCCTTGTCTGTAACCAGCACGTACTGTGGTGTCGTAGTCACCACGCTTACCTTTCAAGCCTGGAGATCCGTGTTCAATCCTTGCTCGGACCTCTAGTCAAGGTCTTGAAATAATCTTGCCTAATAATCCGTCCCTAATCGAGCCATTGATTCAGTTGTTAATTTCTTCATTTGTATTTCCTATAGTGAAGTACAGATTGCCTTCGGTATTTTTTTCTGGTAATGTCCGTCTGCCTTCCTTGGTTCAATCTCTGGAGTCTCTGCCTGCAAATGTTCTCGATGTGCCTGAAGCTTGTGGCTTGCATTCCTCTCCAGAGGTAACTACTCAACAGCTCTGATACTAATACTATGCATAAATTCATGAGTCTTGGAAGCTTCCAGGAGCTGCAAATGACAGTCAACAATTAGAGCTTGCAATTAACTAGACAAGGATGGAAAACGAAGCATTAATACCATAAGCTATACTGTACATAGGATAGGCTATACGATACATACCAAGACATTTTTAACCTCAAATTTATTCCATCAATTTTTCTCTTCCAAATATATTAATTTTGTTTGTTTGTTTGTTTGTTCGTTTCTTTTTCTTTCATTCTTTATTATCTTCCTTTCTTTCTCCTTCCATTCCAATGGGAACTTGATAATTTCTGGGACCAAATTTACCTGTGGTCCGGTATTCTTGCCAGCGACACTAATTCGTAAGTCTATATTCTTTATTTTTCACAGACTGTAGTCGCACACGACCAATACATCTTCACCCGTCTAAACTGGATCTATGATCGGATGCCAGTCACCGACACTCTAACACATGCCTGTGTCGAATCCGACTTTTACACGCCCACGAAAGGTGTCGTGGTGGTCAGTGGTCAGACGCAGTTGCCAGGCGCTAGTTTCCTTGCAGTTGAAAAGTCTGGTTTGTTCGCCAGTGCCAGTCTCTGGGCGCTGCGTCACAGGAAAGATGTTGATTTGTTTGAGATTTGCACGACAGCTTTGAACAAAGTACCAAAACCCTGGAGTAAGGTAAACTAAACTAACTTTATTTATACTGGATAGCTCTATTGGTTCTAAACTGTTCTCCCTAGAGTTCAGTAAAGATAATTTCTTATAGATCCATTGTTACTACATTGTTACTAAGGAGGAAACCTAAATTAAACTAACTTCATTTATACTGGATAGCTCCATCAGTTCTAAACTTTTCTTCCTAGAGGTCCAGTAAGAATCCTCTCTTATTGATCCAGTGTTACTACGGGAGGAAATCTAAATAAAACTAACTTTATTATAGTGAATAGTTCCATCATTTCTAAACTGAGATCCAGTGAAGATCATTCCTTATAGATCCAAAATAGGACACCTAAATTAAACTGACTTTATTTATACTGAATAGCTCCAACAGTTCTAAACTGTTCTCCCAAACCTTGCTATGTAATGTATCACTCTGATTCGTTGTAATTTTCTAGGAGTCTATAAACGAGAAGCTTAAGAAGGTTGGCGTTACATCGTTTAGTTTATTTGTGCTGTCGGAAGTTGAACAAATGCAGAGGTTGATTCAAACGATCAGAGATGATTTGCAGGTTTGTAGTGGTAACTTTTTTCAAAATGTGAAAACGGTGCTTTATGAGGACTTGTGATTTTGCTACCTCTGCATGGTTATCAATCGAAATGACTGTAACTTTAATTACCATCCAGGTAATCAAGACGTCAGTTAGTGATGGTATCCATGGTGATTTGGTACCACCCGATGTCCTAGAGGTGGCTACCGCTCTGTATCACCTTCGTATACCATCACGTTGGTTACAGCTGGCTGGTGACTCATCTCCCCCTGGATCTTGGAGTCTTGTTGCATGGTTAACAGATTTACAGAGCAGACACGCTCACATTGAACGTGTTGTCACACAGGTGTGTTGTTAAACTAACTTTATTTACACTAGATAGCTCTATCAGTTCTGAACTGTTCTCCCCAGAGGTCCAGTAAGGATCATCTCTTATTGATCCAGTGTTACTACAGGAAGAAACTTCAACTAAACTAAGTTTATTTACACTGGATAGCTCTATCAGTTCTGAACTGTTCTCCTAAGAGGTGACCACTTATTGATGCCGTGTTACTACAGGAAGAAACTTCAACTAAACTAACTTTATTATTAAACTGGATAGCTCTATCAGTTCTGAACTGTTCTCCTAAGAGGGGCAGATAGGACATCACTTATTGATGCCGTGTTACTACAGGAAGAAACTTAATCTAACTTTATTTACACTGGATAGCTCTGAATTGATTTCCCAAGAGGTCCAGTAAGGGTCAGCCTTTATTGTTTCAATATTACTACAGGAGGAAACCTAAACTAAACTAACTTCATTTGTACAGGATAGCTTCAGTAAGGGCCATCTTCTATTGACCGGAAGAGAAAACCTAATTACTGCCGAATATCCGCGGTGTTTGGTTTGATCCAAATTGGAAGCAGACCCACGACTTTCGATAGAGCGTTAACTGACTCTTTTCACATAAGTGTCACGAGTCGCAGCGAGAATAGAACCCACAATCTCCCTTAAACTATATTTCGTCTTATTCTAGGGTCGGGATCGTGTCCCCGCGTACTGGCTTGGAGCTTTCTTCAATCCTAAACGTCTGCTTGCTATCGTCAAGCAAGAAGCGATACGTAATTTTGAAAGTAGTGGACGATCTTCCGTTATGGAACTGTTTGTTTTACAAAGTGATATCACTGGCAGGGATAAAGATCATGTAAGTCGAGGGTTACGGTTTGAGTACATTAATATTTATGTGGGGCTCAACTAAGGGGCTGTTAATATGAGCCGCGGTTGCCGGGCGAATCGTGTCGCGAAAATTCTTTTCCTGACCATAAAACACTCAGTGACTTCGACAACAAAGGCCAGGACGTAATATTTCAAGACCACTACCTACACTGAGAAATAACCGTTTGAAGTTTTCCCTAGTGAGAATCTACCACAAAGGACGTACATTTCAAGACCACTACCTACACTGGGAATTAACTGCTTGAAGTTTAGGCTTGTGAGAATCTACCACAAAGGACGTGTATTTCAAGATCACACTGAGAACTAACCGTTTGACGTTTTGGCTAGTGGCGGAATTTACCACAAAGGACTTGTATTTTAAGACCTACCATTTGAAGTTTAGGCTAATGAGAATCTGCCACAAAATGACTTGTATTTCAAGACCACTACCTACACTGAGAACTAACCGTTTGAAGTTTAGGCTATAGTGAGAATCTACCACAAAGAACTTGTATTTTAAGACCACTACTTACACTGAACCTACCATTTGAAGTTTAGGCTACTGAGAATCTACCACAAAAGGACTTGTATTTCAAGACCACTACCTACACTACCTATTTGAAGTTTAGGCTAGTGAGAATCCGCCACAAAGGATAGTTTGAGTACTATTTAAACTGACAGCCAACTGGTTTAGAAATTTATCATATTTGTTATATTGATTTTTCGGGGGTTTTTTTCAGCTGCGTGAACCACCATTAGAAGGCATCTTCATCTATGGTTTGTATATGTGGGGGTGCGCCTGGGAGAAGACTACGGGTGACCTTATGGATTCCCCACCTAGACACGGCCCTACCCCTTTACCTGTCGTCCACCTCACTGTTGTACCACAATCTGAGAAACATTCCCTACATGATCCTCAAAAAGCAGCTGTATCCTACTCGTGCCCCTGTTATCCCTCAAGGATCTGCCCTCGAGAACCAGTGCTACTGTTAGATATTGATAATAAAGACGTTTCAGCCAGTCGCTGGCCTTTGCGTGGTTTGTGTGCCACCTTAAGACCGTTTTAATGGTACATTAGTTATTTATTTGTAAAGATGTCATTTTTATTTGATAAAAAATTTTGGATAGAAAACCTTTTTTATGCAAATATGTTATTTGAAACACCGAAACGTTTGTGAAATCCATGAATAATCAATAATGAATGGTTTTGAGATGATCATTAATTCATCAATTTAAAACACAATCTGTCAATCTCATGGTTTCTATCCAAAATTTTACTGCCTATATTTTTAAACAATGTTCACATGTAAATAAGAATGATAAATTAATTGCAAGGCTTGGTTATGCCTTGCGCTAATATATAAGCTCTGTTTTGACGGTTTGTTAATAAATATTAGCCTATCATTGTATGTGAATGAGAGAACAACCTCGTACCCAGGATCTTTCTTTGGGAGATCCTGGGTACGAGGTTGATGAGAGACTGAACTGTATTTAGATACGGTAGTCTGTCATTCCAGGCGCCGTGTGCTCAAGTAAGGAACGGGCCATTGTTTTTTCGAAGGGGGTGAGAATTCCTTTAAAAAATTGTTTCCATATAAATTCACTGGAAATTTTTTTCAAAATCTTTATAGAAATAGTATGGATCATCGGATATACCATGGATTTAGTGATCGTGATACAATTGATGATTCCCCTTATCACGTTTTCGTAGCGCTTTGCATTGTGGTTATAGTGGTATCACTGATATTCAAGATGGCTTATTTTTTGTCCTGACCCGTGCAAGAACTTTAAAAAAAAAGCTAGGGTCAGGTGCGCGATAGCCAACAGCAAAATATTCGCGAAAACATTCAATATTTTCATTCGAGGCCCCTATCTTTATCAGTGATGCCACTATAACCACAATGCAAAGCGCTACGAAAACGTAATAAGGGGAATCATCAATTGCAAAATTCATTGCATGAATTTCACTATTCTTTTCCAGTGATTGTTTGAATATTATGAGAAGTGCATGAAAAAAATTTGCAAACTGATAAGCTGTTATTAGATGGACAAAAATTTGTCAATACGTAAAAGATTGCTTGAGTTGAAGGAATGTTCCTCCCTCCCCCCCCGCCCGTGTCAACAACACGTGTTTCCGACATTGCAAGGAGCGCATTTTGTTTGTATCTTTCTGCTCCCCCAGCAAAGATCTTTGTTTGGGAAGTGTTTTCATCTTTTTTCAGATTGAGTGGTTGTCGTTTGCAATCATGCAGCAAGTTTCTTAACAACTTGTGACAGTGCTGCTGTTTGTCAAATTGCTACGTAAAGGTAAATGTGGGAGTTGAAAAAATGTTAATCGTCATTATTGCAACTGAGTGCTGGAAAGTGCTCAGTCTTGGCACAGAGTAACTACATACAGAGGTCTCATTTCTGCGAAAAAACCGTAAGAATGATTTTTATTGCAAAGTGCTCTAAAGAGAGGCATTCATCCCCCGGGAACATTAAATTTTAGTATGTTTTCAGGGAGGTGACGAACTCATTAACCTGAAGTGGGACATCTGTATATAATTACTCTGTTCTCGTTTTCCTGATTGAAACGAAAACGAGGCTCTAACAGCCAAAATGAAAATGACGTACTTTCCGGAAGTTGGCACGCTGAACACTTTGAATCGTTGTTACATAAAGTATCGTCAAACATAAACATGGGTTACATAACATTTCTACTTCCGGTCATGTTAATTTTCAAGCTTTTCGACAAGGAGCGATCGAAGCCGTATGTTTTGTGGGTTTGTTTGCCTAAAACCTTACTGCCTCGCTATATTTACTTAAGACAACATTAACTAGTGAATTGGACTATCCCGGGATAAAAATAAAAGCGATTTGTCGAAGAACGAGGTAGTTTTAATCCTCTAAATATACAGTTTTTTGCAGTTGTATAAATTATGTCTGATGCCCAGACGAAGCCAAACAAGAAAGATACAAATGAAAAAGGGGAATATATTCGCCCAGAATCGGGTTTTCGACACAGAATAACAGCTGATGGGTCAAGTGGTTTCATGGCTGAGCAAGGTAATGACACATTGCCGCTTGCAACCTTTTAAATTGTTGCAATTTTGATCAGCACCCCCCTGTCGAGGAACCTTGGAATTCCAAGGGGCAGAGGTTTTAGAGTTGACTATAATATCTTGAGTTGCACTGTGTCATTTAGTAAAAAAATCCTATTCTTTAAAATTTAGGTCGATATCATCTATATGTGTCTTTCGGCTGTCCCTGGGCATGTAGGACTTTGATTGTGCGGAAGCTGAAGGGTCTCGAACATGTGATTACAGTCGACGTTGTTGATTGGTTGTTGGAGAAGCCGTCGGGATGGAAATTTACTGAAGAAAAACCTGGTTGCACACCAGACACTGTTAATAAATTCCAGTTTTTAAGTGAGGTATTGATTTAGCCCTGTTTTATGTGTTTGTGCATGTTTTGTGTCTATAGTTATTATTACCAAACTGAAGTGGATGCTCCTTTTGCCTGAAAAAAACGTACCATTTTGTTAGAGTTGGATGCAATTTCACCTAATGGCTTAACTGAACAAGAGGCACAGGACCAATTTTGTAATAATACTGAGGAGAAACTGGGGTAACCTCTTAATGTTTTCATCTGTGACATAAACAATCTGTGGCTTTTGCATTATCGTAAAACATGTTTAAAATGCAAATGGAGTTTCACAGACACTAAAATTCCAGGGGCCATCCCACCAGACAGCTGGATGATTTGACCCCCCCCCCCCTGTACTTGTTTGGCTGGCTACACCTCTAAACTAGACACATGGCCAGAGTCTGATTGACCCATTGAGTTCTAGCTAGCACTCTCCCCTTGACAAGTAAAATCAGTTTGGCAGAGTAAATAATATAATAAAAGTAGAGTGCATTGGAGCACAGTGCAGAAAGCAAGTGGTAGTTAATTTACTGTAGTCAAGTTATCATATGAATTTTTTCAATATGGTCTATCCCAAGTGGGCCATTGGCCAAAATTATTTCGCTTTGTGGCAACCCCTGGGGAATAGATTTTCTGTGGTTCAATGCATAGTACCATAGATGCTCAATTACCACAACAAGTTCCCAAGCAAAAAAGACAGTGATTATCCTCTATTAAATTATATTACAGGAAGAAAATGTGAAATTTTGTAATATTCAATTACAGTACAACAAAAATGACTTGCATCATCAGAAAGCTTAGAAAAAACCGCATATAAGACTTTTAAACAATTTTTTGACCCTTCAAATACTTAGTCTTTGAGTTATTGCTGTTTTTAATGTGAAAATTGGACCAAAATGTCCCAATAAGGACTGGGTACTAGGTCAAAAACGCATTTTTGACAGCGTATAACTCGAATACAATTTGAGATATAAAAAAACTGTTTAAATGGCTTATATGTAGATTTTGGTAAGCTTTTTGACGATGTAAGTCCTTTTTGTTGTAATTGAATACAAAATTTCACATTTTTGTTGCTGTAATACAATTTAATAGAGGATAATCACTAATCACCAATTTTCTCGGTGTTTGGCAAGTTTTCTGCTTGGGAACTTTTTTTGGTGATTGCATGAACATCTATGGTACTATGCATTGAACCACTGACAGAAAATCTATTCTCCAGAGGGTTGCCACAAAATTGCTTTTCTAAGCACTTTTTTCGCACAACAGCCCACGGCCTAAAGGCTTAATGCTGAAAATTTTTAAAAAAATTGATTCCAGGTGTATGCGCTTTCAGATTCAACATACTCAGGAAATTGGACAGTGCCTGTGTTATTTGATAAAATCAAGAACACTATCGTCAACAATGAGTCAAGCGAGATCATTCGTATGCTCAATCGAGAATTCAATGAATTTTCTGCAACTGAAGAACAGAAGATGCTTGACCTCTACCCAGATGATTTGAGAGTCGAAATTGACGGAGTTAACGAATGGGTTTACCGGTATGTCTACAGTAGTTAGCTAATCCATTGAGAGTGCCAGAGCTATCTTTTTGACAAGTAAAACACAAAATTAATATACACAAAACTAGTGATACAATCGAATATGTATTCGATCAAGCCAATTACCAGATATGTCAGTTAACAACTAGTCAAATTTAATTGGATCCAAATCTCATTTCTAGAAAAATTTCTCAAAAGGTATAAAATCAAATTTTCTGAGATTTGCTTGTGATTCTTTTAGAGATATTAACAACGGGGTATATAGATGTGGTTTTGCAACCTCACAGGAAGCTTACAACACAGCCGTTGAAAAACTTTTTCACGGTCTTGATAAGGTATGACGATCGACGGATGGAGTTCATATAAATACTAATAAAATGGTCAGGGTAATGATGCTGATGGGATATAGTTGTTAATCCATTGAAGGATGGGGGGGGGTGCATCCCACCTAATGGTAACCTAGCATCCCCCTAGAGAAGTCCAGCACCACCCTAAAAAAATCTACTTGACCATACATTTTCTGCTTTTCAAATAGCGATTAGCGGAACTTCTACTGTTAGCACGTGTCCATTTCTTGAAACGATTTAATTGATTTGTGAGTTCACAAGAAACTGTTCAGAATGCTTTAGTTAAATATCATGGTTAAGTATGTAAACATGTCGAGGTTGTTATACAGCCATATTTTCAAATATACTGTACTTTAACAAGCAAATTTACTGTACTGTGCTACAGCAACTGTCCAGTCACGCATACGTGATAAAAAGCCGATATAAACGTTATAAACAAAAGATAATGTAAAACGTAACAGAACGGCAAACATGCAGATTCGGCCATCTCAAATAATGGTAATGTTGGGATAGTAGCGTTGCAGACTGCAGAGGAGAGTGGGCAGTAAGGCTCCCTCGTGCACCACCCCATGGAAAACTTGCACCCCTCCTTGCAGATGAGACTAGATCTGCCCCTGGTCCGCGTTCTCCCCTTGACGAGTATAATGATCTGACGTTAGACAGAAAATGCAACTTAATGGGTTAAAAATTTGTTTCTTGTAGGCTGAAGAAATACTTTCCAGAAACAGATATCTAACAGGAAACAGGTTAACTGAAGCCGACATTCGACTTTTTGTGACATTAATTCGCTTTGATGTCGTGTATCATGGCCACTTTAAGGTAAGCGCGTTCGATTAATTTATCGAAACTTGATCGGTCATGCTGTCGGTCACATCGCGTTTCTAAATTTTCTGTCCCTCGCCATTTTCCGTTGTTTTTCAGTGCAACAAGAGACGAATATTAGACTACCCAAATTTGTGGGGTTTCTTGAAGGATATTTACCAAACGAATGGCGTTGCATCCACTGTTAATTTTGAGCATATCAAGAAACTTTATCAGGTATTCATTTTTATGCCTGAATGGGAAGAGGGTCAGAGCAATTCGTCAGAGCAAGCCATTGAACTAAAAATAACTATTTTTAGTTCAATGGAGCAAGCGCCTTTCACCGCTGGGATCGTGGGTTTGATACTGCGGACTCATGATACTTATGTGAAAAGAGTTAGTCAACGCTCTACCGAAAGTCGTGGGTTTTCTCCGGGTATTCAGGTTTCCTCCCACAGGGAAAGTTGATAGGGTGGGTTGGAATTAGCCCCCTAAATGAGCCTTCCACCGTAGCTGTACTCCGTGGTCAGACATGAGTCATAAGGTGGATCATGCCAGAGGCGCTCTTTCAAAGCCTTGGACTCGATCAGGTTGAGTTGTGTCCTTCGTTATTCAGCTTGGCTCTCAGCTGCAAGTAATGACGATTAGCACACCCCACAATACACTCAACGTAGAGCGCCACTCTAGCACTGAGAACCAACAATTTGAAGACCTCGGGTTTAGTACAAAATTCTAACCTTTTCTCTCTAATATGATTCATACTACTAGATTACATTGGTATCGAAGGAACTAGATTCTGTTCCGAAATATCACTTACTCGAACCGACCTGACCGCGTAGCTCAGTTGGCAGAGCATTGGGCTAGTATTCCACAGGTCGTAGGTTCGATTCCCACCGTTGCCGGGCATATTTTTCAAGCTCAACACAAACATCTTTTCTCTGAGTAACAACACAAACATCTTTTCTCTCTAAGTGTAAATAAGTGAATGTTTTTCATATTGTGATAAACAGCCAGAAAACTCTATGGTCAGATAGAGCTTCCTTTCTATTCTTCTTTTAATCTCTAGGAAAGCCAAAGATCAATCAATCCTCATGGAATTGTGTCGATTGGCCCTGATCTCGACTTATTGTCAGCGCATGACCGTGACAAGTTATGAAAATGGCTATTGATATTACTTTTGTTTGTGAAATATACAATAAACACTGTATTGTCGATACAGTTTATTTATGTTGTTAATTTCACGGAGTTATTTTAACTCCACCTGAAGAATTAAAACTACTTCCTTTGCGGGAGTAAACTTTTTTATTTAAATCTACTCCAAAAATGAGAGCAAACACTACTCCACTTTGTTTAGAGAGTCCGTACTGTTTTGCCTACAGAGAATGCTAGACGAACTTGTTAAAATCACAGAATGAATATATAATCACTTTGAAAGGAAAATACCGGCAAGATTAATTGGGGCATTGTTTTCATTTCAAACCACATTTTGACACAACATCCTAGCTGTTTTATACCCAGTGTAAAATGTTAGCCAAATTTGTGTATTTATGTCATACGATTTATAGGAATTGGCCCAGAATAAGCTTTTGGGCAAAAGTTTTGCTTTGTCGTCATTTTATACAGCTTTAAAGCGATACATATATCTCTAAGTTGTTATTCTTTCCTGCCATGATAATAAAGGTTTCCAGCTGAGATAATTGCATTGGTTTTATATTATATAACACTACAGAGTATTGTATAGTTTTTGACTACGCCACAGGAGGAATATCATCACAAGAAACGAGGCTTTATTGTCCATTAGAGTTGAGGAGAGTTTATACGGTATGTTGTTTATTCCCTTTTTTAACTCGCATAGTTTATTTGTTAAATTTGTACTTTGCTTAAAATCTACGGTAAAAACGATCCAAAGCCAATACCTTTTGCCGACACGGCAGGACTTTCAAATCAAGCCGGCGTTTGCCGGCTGCTTAATTTCTTTATAAACTATATAATGTTCATCCATCTCGCTTTTTTCTCTGTTTGTGACAATAAAGTACGTCTGTTTTCGGCAGACCTAATTGTAGCCACGGTTTGTGGCTATAAAATACGCCTGTTTTTGCTGCATTTGGCTACATAGAAATGTAGTATTCTGCCTAAATATCACTAGCATATCATTTTATTTTATTTTCAGACAACCTTAAAGATGTTCTCATTGTCACTTGCAGTGTTTTCTATTTCTATTTTGTCCTTAAAAGGTACGTTTTGTTTGCCTGGACTAATAAGAAAAATATCACAAAACTTATGGAATTACCCATGCAGTATACTGTATAAATAAAGTTAGTTTAATTTAAATTTCTTCTTGTAATAACGCTTCATCAATGAGATATGGCCCGTAAGGGCCCTCTAGCCTGAATTTGAGCTGTGTCCTTCACAAATCAGCTCTCACCTGCAAGTGAAAATGATTAGCACCCCCTACATCTACTTCTAATATACAGATGTTTTAATTTGTTTGTTGCAGCTGAAAGTTCTTACGAGGCTCAAAGCCGACTTGAGGCAATCCTATTGAAGAATTACTCGAGAGAGATCCGACCTGTTTTAGATTATGACGATAATGTCACTGTCACTGTCGGCATCTCACTCAGCAGAATTCAAGAAATGGTAGTATACTAGATAGCGCATCTCTTTTAGTAAAATTGAAGCCAAGGATATTCCATGAATGGTTACCCCCATTTGAATAGATGGCGGCCATGTTGGTCGTTCCCACTTGCAAGTAAACGCTTAAAAAACAACAATAACTTTCATTATTTGAATAGTTTAAAAACGTATTTGGAATAGGGTTAACTTAATGTTTAAGTTCCCTGTTTAAGAAATAGAAAACATACGAATCTTCTAATTTCATGGGAACGACCTGAGACTGCAATCACAACTTCAATTTCTGAATTGCAGAATAATTAGATGCACTATCTAGTGTATGTTAGATATCTATGTAAGACATCCACGCACATGTATGTAAAATACTAAATTTTCATTTGATTTACGACGTGTATATATCGCAACAATAGGCCTGAAATTATTTTGGTGCGATTTTTAGAATGACAAAAATCAAATTCTAACTTTAAGTCTTTGGATTCGCCAGGTAAAGTATATAAACGCGTGCTTTTATTTTGCTATCCTAGCTTGCAATGTTGGAACGGTTTCATCTTTTGTACAATAAGTTGTCGTGGTTTTCATGCCTGCATTAATTAATGAGAAACATGTATTTTGTACATTTTTCGTCGTTTGGACATCTCTAGGTGTGGAATGATCCGCGCTTGACTTGGAATCGTTCAGATTACGCAATGACAAACCAAATTCATGTCGATCCTGGTAAAATATGGATTCCTGATCTCAAGGTTTATAACGAGTGAGTTTACTTTTGTAATGGTTACTGTTCAACCGTTTTATTATACCGTTACGGACATCTCTTTAATACAGACATCTCTTTAATACGGACATCTTTCTAATATGGACATCCCTTTAATATGGACATCTCTCTAATACTGACACCTTTCTAATATGGGCATCTCTCTAATACGAACATCTCTCTAATATGGACATCTCTCCTAATACGAGCATCTCTCTAATATGAACACCTCTTTAATACTGACATCTCTCTAATACTGACATCTCTCTAATACTGACAACTCTCTAATATGGACACCTCTCTAATATGGACATCTCTCTAATACTGACATCTCTCTAATACTGACATCTCTCTAATATGGACATCTCTCTAATACTGACATCTCTCTAATATGGACATCTCTCTAATACTGACATCTCTCTAATATGGATATCTCTTTCATACGGACATCTCTCTAATATGCGCACCTCTTTAATACAGAAAATCTACAAGAAATGTATATTATTATATTCTAATCAGGGTTGGTCAACACCGGGATCACGGTCTAGATCAACTCCATACAAAAGCTATAGTTTATTCTAATGGAGAGATCAAATGGATGTCTCCCTCTGTGAAGAAGTTATCTTGTCATGTCGACATGACGTTCTACCCTCATGACACTCAGGTAAGGCTTTCGAATCATTTATGAACGAATTTGTGCTCTGCCTTGCATCGGACATGTTTGCCCAGTGCTGGTCGATAGCCTACTGTTATATTGATCACTGGGGCTAACACCCTTATTGATGCAGTGTTACTACATCAGGAATCCTAAACTTATTTATGCTGGATAGCTCTATCAGTGCTGGGCCGGTTGTACATATAGTAAATATATATTTGTCTGTTTTTAGTACGCAAAACAATGTCAGGTGACTTGCACTTCAAAATTTCAATTTAGCTCAGCTGGCCCATATGGCTGGCCCTAGGCCACGAGAATGTCACTTAAGAAACACGATATTCCTTAACTCCAGTCTGAATGTCGCAGGATAACCCAAATTCCGATTTCATTCACTAGCATCCTGTGTTTGGTGAAGTGAAACTAAAATTACTGTGATTGAGGTGTAATTATAATCGGACTCGAATCTTAGTCACAGAGATGAAAGATACAGATGTACATACTGTACATTAATCACTGTACCACCGACACTGTATGTTATAGAACTGTAAGATCAAGATTGGATCTTGGACATACCATGGTTTTGCTTTGGATGTCAGACCCGAAAACCGCACAATGGACGTTTCAAAATCTCCTTCCAATCCTGAGTGGAAGCTGGTATCGACTTCCGTTGAAAGACATGTTGAAAAGTACAAATGTTGTCCTGAGCCGTACCCCGATGTCACGTATAGTGTTACATTGAAACGCCGTGAAGGAATGTACTGGATGAACTTTATATTTCCTGGCATATTTCTCACAGGTGACAGTGCTTTATGGCTACAGGATATACCGAAAACAAGCGTACTTTATAGCCACAAGCCTTGGCTATAATTAAGGTATGCCGAAATCCGGTATCCTTTATAGCCACAAGCCTTGGCTATAAGGTATGCCGAAATCCGGTATCCTTTATAGCCACAAACCTTGGCTATAATTAAGGTATGCCAAAATCCGCCATCCTTTATAGCCACAAGCCTTGGCTATAAGGTATGCCGAAATCCGGTATCCTTTATAGCCACAAGCCTTGGCTATAATTAAGGTATGCCAAAATCCGCCATTCTTTATAGCCACAAGCCTTGGCTATAAGGTATGCCGAAATCCGCTATCCTTTATAGCCACAAACCTTGGCTATAATTAAGGTATGCCGAAATCCGCTATCCTTTATAGCCACAAGCCTTGGCTATAAGGTATGCCGAAATCCGGTATCCTTTATAGCCACAAGCCTTGGCTATAATTAAGGTATGCCAAAATCCGCCATCCTTTATAGCCACAAGCCTTGGCTATAAGGTATGCCGAAATCCGGTATCCTTTATAGCCACAAACCTTGGCTATAATTAAGGTATGCCAAAATCCGCTATCCTTTATAGCCACAAGCCTTGGCTATAAGGTATGCCGAAATCCGGTATCCTTTATAGCCACAAACCGTGGCTATAATTAAGGTATGCCGAAATCCGGCGTACTTTATGGTTCAATGCTTGATACTGAATAAAGCTAGTACAAACTTTAAAGTGTGTGATCGTGTTTTTCTTTCCTTCTAGTGTTAACAATGATGACATTTGTTACTCCCGCGGCAGATACAGGAGAGAGAATCGGTCTCGTTTTGACTTCGTTGGTCTCCATGTTTTTCTTCTTGAAATTGGTCAGTGAACAAACCCCTGCTTCTGACACTATTCCTTTGTTGAGTGTATATTTTGTTATGTTAAGTTTCGAGGTAAGATTTTTGTGAATATCTTTTTGTGAAGGTTTTTTCTCCCTCGCTAAAAGCTAACTCTCACCCAGGGGCGGATCTACAGTGGGGTGCAGGCGCACCCTGCCTAGTGATGTCTAGCACC